AATTCTGGCTACTTGGAAGGCTGAGGCAGAAGGATCGCCAGAGCCTAGCAGGTTGAGGCTGCAGTGGCCGGGAGCGGCCCTGTACTCCAGTCTGGGCGACAAGAGTGAGACTCCAACTCAAAAAAAACCAGTACTTTATTGTCTTGTCAATAGGAAAATCTTATAGTATATCAGCTTATAGAAGTTAAATATAGTGTAATTTTTGAAGACAAAAAATACACATTTAACTTTTCTTAGATAATACACATATTTATTGTTATTTGAACATAATAGTAATTTATTTTTGAACTTTTTTGAATATGAAGTGTTTGCAAAATTACATGAACTGTTATGCATAAAATAAATTGTAACTAGATTTAATAAGATAAAATATAACATACTAAAATTACTTTAAGAAGGCCTTAATCAATTTTATTAAAATGAAAATAAATCCAGAGATCATAATTCAAAGCAGTTTTTTAATAGGAAGTTTCATGTATAAATGTAGAAACTCCTATGTCCTTTCTCTCAAATGCACAATGAATATTCAAAAATGTATCAAAACCTCTGTACATCAGTAATACAGAAAATAAACTATATAATTTGCAAAGCAAACGTATACAACTAGGGCTACAAACATTACAGCTTAATTCCATAATTGTGGGTTTAGATGGTCCCAATCAACAGGCAGACTTCACATTTTCTGAAGAGAATTTCACTTATCTACTGGTTTCCAGTATTTTCAAAAAACATGAAGTCCTAGAGGAAAACAAAAACGCACAAATGAGTTTTCAATAACAAAAAGGTGATCAATTCTTAGATGCAGAAATGTGAAGGAACTTGAAAAAAACAAAACAGTAACATATCTGTTAAACAAGGGAATTAACTGTAAAAAGTAAGACTAGGAAAAGTCTATAATTATGTAAGGTCTACCTTCAGCTTTCCATTTTAACATTAATTAAATCCTATACTTTTATTCACTTATTGATACCTGGATGAATTTAAGTAATCCTCTGATAATGTCTCTAAATGTCACTTTTTCTCATTCCCTTGGAATCTTCTCCTTTCAATCTTTCTTTCTCAGCTTTTTGTAGTCTTCCTCTAATAATATTAGTTTTCAAATGACTGGAGTTCCATTTACAACTTTAGTTTTATTTTCAGGAGGACAACAGCCATCTTAGAGTAGGAAGCATTTGAATTACAACTTTTTAATTAGAGTTCATAATTTCTCTTCCAAACTTGTCCAATGGGTTTTCCGGCTTGTTTTACCTTAATATTGACTAACTAGACTCTCTCCTCTATGACTTCAGTCAAAACCTATGAATTTTATTCCACTTACATCCATTATTTTCCTTTACGCCTTCAACAGAAATAATTTAGCCCTTCTTGCCAACCACTCACATTGCACTGTGGCAATTTTGTCTTTTCAACTCAGTGCCTTGAATAGTCATCAGCATTTACCTTTCCAAAGTTTGGATTGATTCTGTTTTATTATACCTAGTTTTAAATCAAACAACTAACTAAACCATTTTCAATGACTTAACCAATGGCTACCTACTTGTTAAAGGTACTTCAGAAGTCCATAGTCATTTCCTAAGAATCCCTCTACCACTTCTAGCAACCTTTCCCATCAATCCAAACACCCAGATTGCCTTGTTTCCCCCGAACACACCCCTTCAAATAACCTGCCTTTGGTTTAAATAGTTCTCTCAAGGTTAAGGTTAAACTTTACTTTGCATTTTCTTTTTTTTGAGTTGGAGTCTCACTCCGTCGCCCAGACGGGAGTGCAGTGGCCACTCCCGGCCACCGCAGCCTCGACCCGCTGGGCTCCTGCGATCCTTCCGCCTCAGCCTTCCAAGTGGCTGGAACTATAGGCGCGCGCTACCATGGCCGGCTGATTTTTGATTTATTGTAGAGATGAGGTCTCGCCAAGTTGCCCAGGTGGGTCTCGAACCCGAAGGCTCAGGCAATCCACTCAGCCTCCCAAAGCGCGGGATTACAGGCTGAGCCACCGAGCCCGGCAGACTTTACTTTTCACGTGAAATGAACAACTTACTGAAAACACAAGCATCCTTCATTATATTTAAACTTTGTTATAGAACATACTAAGCTTAGCCGGGCTCGGTGGCTCAGCCTGTAATCCCGCGCTTTGGGAGGCTGAGGTGAGTGGATTGCCTGAGCCCGCGGGTTCGAGACCTGCTGGGCAACTTGATGAGACCTCATCTCAACAATAAATAAAAATTAGCCGGGCGTGGTAGCGCGCGCCTGTAGTTCCAGCTCCTTGGAAGGCTGAGGCGGAAGGATCGCCGGAGCCCAGCAGGTCGAGGCTGCGGTGGCCGGGAGCGGCCACTGCACTCCAGTCTAGGCAACACAGTGAGACTCCAACTCCGAAAAAAAAAAAAAAAAGAAAAGAAAATACTAAGCTTATCCCAAATTAGACATAATAGCGTTAAAAAGTTCCAGCAACCACTCACTCGGCTTCAAACCAATATAACCAATCTTAGTTCATCTATTACTCAAGCTGCGAAGCCCCTCTGCCCTCACTCCTATCATTTAAAAAAAAAAAAAGTGATTCCATACCATTTTACACTAAAATGCTTCAGTATGTTTCTCTAAAAAATATGAACATGGTTTTGTTTCTACATAATAACAATATCATCACATCTAAAAAAATCTTAAAATTCCTTCATATTATCAAATAAACAGTCAACGTTTAAATTTCCCTGATGCTTTGTAAATGTCTTTTGACATTGGTTTGTTTGAATTGGTCCAGGCATAGCTCAGAAATTGTATTAGGGTGATATCTCTTAAGTCTCTGTCTTCTTATTTTACCTTTTCCTCTTTCTTTTCCTTGCTACTTATTTGTTAAAGGAACTGGTTACTTTTTGCTGTATAGTCTCTCTGTTACATTTTTTCTGTTTACATCCTCAAATCAATGTTTAAGATACTCATCAAGTGTTTTCAAACCTTGATTGCACTTTGGAATCACCTGGGAGCTCTAAACTGCATGAAATCTTAGTCTCACCTCTGGAGATTTTGATATAATAGATTTGGATGTAGTGTGAACATGAGGCATTTGAAAGTTATCCAGGTGTTTCTATAGTGCAGCTAAGTTTGAGGACCACTGATCTGTCTTTATAACCCTCAATTTTGACTGCATATTGGAATCACCCAGTGCACTATACATACTTCCGATTCTGAGCTTCTGATTTAGTTGCATTGGGGTATGGCCTGGTGCTTGGGGTTTTTGAAAGCTCTATATGTGGTGTTAATATGAACACAGTTTCGGAATCATTGATTTATTACATTATTTCCTGTAATTTAGTAATTCGACCTAGAGAATTGATTAGATGTACACTCTTATTGCATTTTACATTCATATCAGATAATTTAGAGTCGTGATAAAGTATTCCTGTTTCAATTCAAGATTCAATTTCTTCCTCAAAGCACGACTTCTGATTTCCTTCAATAAAAACTCCAAGACTAAAATATCTCCTTAGTACCTAAAGTCCTTCTCTTGCCACGTGAAAATGCATAGACTCTTTAGGCAGAAAATAGTAACTTGTGAATCCAGAATGTCAGGAACAAATAGAACTTCAGAGCTAGAATTAAATAGGAACCTTTGTTTAAAAATCACACATTTTGAAATATACAGTTTACTGATTCATTTCAGAATGATACTAACCATCTATGACCAAGATTAACAAGAATAGACTTACAATGAGGAAACAGGCACCCATCATCACAGCTTTCATCTTAACATCAAGGTCTAAAGGGAACTGGATCCCAAAGTTATCAGAATCCGTAAACGCCTCTCTTATAAAGCCAGACCAGTGCTTGGAAATCTTGCCAACCACAGCTTGTTCATCAAGAGATTTAATCTAAATTAAAAAAAAAAAAGTCTTAAAGATTTCTGGAAAACTTATAGCAAAAGTACTTTCAAAGAGTACAATGAAACAAATGATGTCTCATATATAACTATTAACATATAACCCTCATTAGATACATATTTATATCTATTTAATATGTTATTTGAATTTATCCAAAACAAAATTTAAGCAGAAAATATGCACATATGAAATGGTTTTTGATGAAGTTTCTAGAAACCATCAGCACTTGCCTCAGGTCAAGACGAGACCAATAAATGTGAGGAGACTAAAAACAGTTGACCCATTTTATTTGGATAGAGATGGATGTGTTCTTTAAAAATCCTGAAATAAATATCTAACACGAAACTGTGATAGCATAGATTATTGTTCATCAAATATTCACTTCATTCTCTTTCCCAATATTTCCTGCTCATTGATAATGAGCCTTGATCATGTGACTTGTTTGTCCAGTGGGTGTTAACAGGTATGCCATTAGCAGTAGTCTTTTTTTTGAATAGGAGTCTCATTCTGTGGCCCAGGCAACCTGCTGGCCTCAGGTGATCCTTCCGCTTCAGCCTTCCAAGTAGCTGGAATTACAGGTGTGCGTCACCACACCCAAATCATTTTTTTATTTATTGTACAGACAAGATATCACCACGTTGTCCAGGCTGATCTTGAACCCCTGGGTTCAGGCAATCCTCTCACTTTAGCCTCCCAAAGTGCTGGGATTACAGGTGTGAGCCACTATGCCTGGCTAGTAGTCATCTTAAATGTGAATAGGTAGTTTGGTCTGGCTCTTGCCAGACCAAATGCCAAGCTGCTAGCTAAGCAAGACCTGGGTAGCTGCTGCGGCTCTAGCCCTAGAATAAATATATCTGAAGCAGACCTAAGGCCAACTTGCAGCCAAAATTAGAGTGTAAGTATATCCACAAAACAAAGCTGACTTGCAGATTCATACACTTGAGCATAAATACTTGGATTAAGCTACTGAGTTTTGGGAATTATGTGTTATACAACACTATTGTGGCAAAATAAACTAATGCAAGTTCTTCTGTACATGTTAGTATTTTATTTGCTAATAGCTATCATCTAAGCATTTGAAGCTAGTAATAAAATTCATGCATTTTATTTTCAAATTTTGAAATATTTATAAAAATGAAAAATGCAGCTGACAAGTTACTAGCCACTGTAAATCCAACACTACATTGATAACGATCTTAACATTTTCCTTTTTTGATTACTATAGCAGGAAATTTAAAAACTCACCAAAATTTATGCAGGAAGAGAAAATGTAAAAATTTTTTTTTTTTGAGTTGGAGTCTCACACTGTCGTCCAGACTGGAGTGCAGTGGCTGCTCCTGGCCACCGCAGCCTCGACATACTGGGCTCCGGCGATCCTTCTGCCTCAGCCTTCTGAGTAGCCGGAATTATAGGCGCGCGCTACCATGCCCAGCTAATTTTTTGATTTTATTGTAGAGATGAGGTCTCGCCTGCCCAGGCGGGTCTCGAACCCGCGGGCTCAGGCAATCCACTCACCTCAGCCTCCCAAAAGCACGGGATTACAGGCTGAGCCACCGAGCCCGGG